TTTTTATTGATTTCAGAGAGGAAGGGAGAGGGAGAGGGAGAGAGAGATAGAAACATCCATGATGAGAAAGAATCATTGATTGGCTTCCTCCTGCACGCCCCGTACTGGGGATCGAGCCCACAACCCGGGCATGTGCCTCTGACTGGAATTGAACCCGGGACCCTTCAGTCCACAGGCCAATGCTCTATCCACTGAGCCAAACCAGCCTAGGGCTATATGTCTTTTTTAAAAATTGGTTTTTAGACAGAGAGAAAGGGAGAGGGAGAAGAGACAGAAACATCGATGATGAGAGAGAATCATGGATCGGCTGCCTCCTGCATGCCCCCCACTGGGGATCGAGCCCGCAACCTGGGCATGTGCCCTGACCAGGAATTGAACCGTGACCTCCTGGTTCATGGGTTGATGCTCACCCACTGAGCCACCCTGACTGGGCTCTTTACGTAATGTACTGATGGATTTGGACTGGGAAGGTTTAGTTAGAACCAGCTTAAGAGTCATTCCAGTGCTACAAAAGGTCACCGTCATGTAAGCTGTGTTGATGCTATATTGGAAAGCTGTGCGTATGTAAGACAGACTTTATTTATAACCGAATGTTAGCCACGCTCACCAGAACGTTGTTGGATGCTTAGAATTCCTCCACCTACTGGGAGGGCAGCCCCGCCATGGAAGCGCTGCAGCGGGTCTACGGGATCTCCTTCCCCGAGAGCAAGATGATGAGAGCCTGGGAGAAGGCCCAGGAGGAGGCCAAGAGCCGGGACCACAGGCGAATCGGGAAGGTGGGCCAGCGTCCTCATCACCCCTGCGATGGCGCGGGCCTTTGTCGGCTCGCGGTTCTGTCCCAAAACTAAATGGTTCCAAAAGTAACATTTCTCCTCCTGTGTTCTTAAATAGCTTTTAAAAATATATTTTATTGATTTCAGAGAGGGAGAGAGAGAGAGAAACATCAGTGATGAGAGAGAATCATGGATCGGCTGCCTCCTGCGTGCCCCCCACTGGGGTTCGAGCCCACAACCCGGGCCTGTGTCCTTGACCGGGAATCGAACCCAGTTCATGGGTCGCTGCTCAACCACTGAGCCACACGGGCTGGGCCAGCGGTGAATATTTCTGATCTTTTTGCCGTGTTTTCTCCCCATGACACCCATCCTCCAAGAGGCCAAGTAAGAAAGTAGCAGTAAATAGAAGGCGAAGGAAAAGCTACTGTTCAAAGCTTAGTTAGTGAGACGATCAATACAAAGGGTCGTTTCCCATGTGCTATGCAGGACAGTGAGGTGGGAGTATTGAGGGACTTTGAAGACAATGGTTAGAGAATGGGAATGAGGACCGTGCACATTTCATGTCTAGCGTGTCACGTGTGTAGTGAACGTTAAGCACCCACCGTGGCATTTGACATCCATTTATGGTTTCATTTCAGGACCAAGAGCTTTTCTTTTTCCACGACCTGAGTCCGGGCAGCTGTTTCTTCCTTCCCAGGGGCGCCTTCGTCTATAACACACTGATGGATTTCATCCGAGTAAGTGGACTCTCCCTTCCTCGTCAGCTCCATCTGGCCTCTTACCGTGTCCTCTCATGGTCACATGGCCCGGCCTCCCCATGGACTTTATTTCAGTCACAGTGAGGATTTGGAGCCTGATCCCGGATTGTGCCTCCTAATAAAAACGTTGAGATGATTGGCATTTTCCTAAACTAGATGCATCCTCGGGTTTTGTCCAATGCCTCCGCTGTGCCTGTAAGCTTCTAGAGCAGGTGCAACTCGGAGGTGAGCGTCAGACGCAGTGAGGGGCTCCTCCTGGGAGAGAGCAGGGGGGTCGTGCTGGCACAGGATGCTCAACCAGAAGCACTGCTGCTCACTGCGGCCCGGGGGTCACGGGGCCCCTTCATCGTCTGGTGTGACCGGGCAGCCCCAGAGCAAGGAGGGAAAGAGTTCTGTGAGATGCTCGGTTGTAGTACACGCGCAGGTGAGAGTCTGTCACGGGACCGTGTGCTGTGGCTGCTGCTGCGGGCGACCACGTGGACTGCTGGGGTGGCGTTCCCCTTCCTGCGCTCTGTCCTTATCGTCACTAACCAGCTACACGTTCCCTGACTCCGCTCCCTGAGTGCCTGTCACTGGTTCACCCTCCGCTCCCTGCGAGCACCGGGAAGCCCTGCGGCACATGCTGATGACCTGGGGCGTCTCTCGGTGATTCTGTTTCCCACTCGGGTCTTCTCGCTCCGGAGTGAGGTCTTCATACGTCTTCTTGCCGTCATCCTGGCTGCTCCCCTCATCGCCGTCCTGTGCTCATGCTCTTCTCTCCTGCTGGCGCGTCTTCCTCCTCCTTGCTTAGCCCTCTCATTTGGGGAAGCACTTTCTTCAAGAACTTCCTGATGAGCCCGCCCGGCGTGGCTCAGAGGTTGAGCATCAACCTATGAACCAGGAGGTCAGGGCACGTGCCTGGGGTGCAGGCTCCATCCCCAGTAGGGAGCGTGCAAGAGGCGGCCGATCCATGATTCTCTCTCATCATTGATGTTTCTAGCTCTCTCTCACTCTCCCTTCCTCTCTGAAATCCAGTAAAATATTTTTTTTTTTTAAAAGAAGAACTTCCCGGGGACAGAGCACGTGGCATGTGCTGGTGGTTCTGTCTGAGGCACTAGTCTCGTTTTGTCCCCTCTTCTCACGCTGCCCCCCTGGACGCTGCCCACGCTGGACTCGCTCACCTGGGCTGCGCGTCTTTCCTAGGGGCTGGCCCCATGAAGCTGTCGGAGGCGATCAGAGGGCAGGGAGGCGAGGCCTGAGGAATCACTGACTGATCAGAGGCGCCAGCGGGGGGCGAGGACCGTCATGACTGCTGATCCCAATGCGCCGCTGTCTTTGCTGGGAAAGCATCCCGGCCCTGGCACCTGGAACTCTCCAGGCTGCGGGAGGAGCGCGGAGACGAGGCGGAGCCTCCGGGGCGGCCTTACAGGATCTCTTATCTCTCGTAGATGCGACACAGACCTGGCTGGGGGCGGCCCCAGGTCTCACTGTGTGAGGTGCAGGGTGCGCAGCCCTTTAGACACACAGCCCCAGGCCTCGTGCCAAGGTAAGGGTGCCGGGGGGAGGCCTGCGCCCGCGTCTTGGGATGGGCCTGTGGGGCAGACGCAGCTGAGGTGGATGCCGTGAACGCCCAGGTACCCTTGGCGGAAGGAAGTGGCCTGTGCATGCAGCACACACATAAAGCTGCAAAATCTGCCCGGCCAGCGTGGCCCAGTGACTGAGCGTCGACCTATGAACCAGGAGGTCACGGTTCCTTTCCCGGTCAGGGCACATGCCCGGGTTGCGGGCTCCATCCCCAGTAGGGGGCGTGCAGGAGGCAGCCGATCCATGATTCTCTCTCATCTTTGATGTTTCCTTCTCTCTCTCCTCCTCCCTTCCTCTCTCAAATCAAGAAAAAGATATTTTAAAACACACACACACACACACACACAAAACGAGTGGCCTAAAGCAGGAATGTGTCCTCTGCTGTTCTGGAGGCGGGAAGCGTGAGATCCAGGCGTTGGCAGAGCCGTGCTCCCTCTGAGACCCGCGGGGAACCCGTCCTCCCTGCCCTTTCCCAGCCAGGGGTGGGGTGTCAGTCACCGCTGGGCTTCCTTGGCGTGTCAGTGCCTCGCTCCAGTCTCCTGCCTTCCCTTGGCACTCTCCCTGCGTGTCTTCACGTCATCTTCCTCTACGTGATTCATTCATTCTCTCTCTCTCTCTCTCTCCCCCTCTCACCCCCCCCTTCTCTCTCCAAACCTCCTCTTCTTATGAGGACACCAGTCCCATTGGATTCAGAAGACCCACTCCAATGACCTCTGAACTTGACCCCCTCGATAAAGACTGTTTTCAAATAAGGTTGAATCCTGAGCTCCCACCTAGCTTCTTGGGGGGAGGGATACACTCCACCCATGACAGTGGGTGACCTCCATCTTCTCCCCAAAGGACCGGGTTCTTAGCGGGCCTGTCTTTACTGGGTCGCTGGGGCTCTCCGCTGGCTGTTGTTGGATATGGAAGCGCTTGAGGCTCCTCCCTGCACCCCAGACGCAGTCCTCACTCTACTGTGTATCAGTGTCCCCAGGAATCGCGGCCCGTCATCCTGGCCAGAGAGCCAGGCGTTCTCTGCCTGTGGGTCCGTAGCATCGGGGGCCCCACGTGGGCAAGGGGCAGTGTCCACTCCCCGCAGGGGCAGGTCTGGTGTCGGGGGTTTTGTGTGGGAAAGAATGCTGTCCCTGGCCACCGTGCACATTGCTGAGAGAGTCTAGAGCTTGAGAGAGAAAGAAAATACTCTAAAAGCTTCCCGAGAGAGAAAGCCATAGACGTGGCACGGTATCAGAATGGCAATGCTATTTTCCATAGGAGACAGATCAGTGCCTTAAACATGTGGGTCCTACAGCCTGGCCGGTGTGGCTCAGTGGTTGAGCATCAACCTATGAACTAGGATGTCGCGGTTCAATTCCCAGTCAGGGCACATGCCCGGGTTGCAGGCTCTATCCCCAGTGTGTGGCGTGCAGGGGGCAGCCGATTGATGTTTTTCTCTCATCGATGTTCCTATTCCTCTCTCCCTCTCCCTTCCTCTCTCTGTAAAAATCACTTTTTAAAAAAATCTCAATAATAATAACTGTGGGTGCTAGAAGCCCCTCTCAGCTGACGCAGGCCTGCTTCGGATCCTCCCGTGTGGTTGCAGCTCTCCCAGCCGGCGGAGGCAACCCTGACCCGCCTTCCTGCCCCTAAAGAATGTAGCTCTCCTCCCCTCCTTTCTCGCGGCCTTGGAGATCTGTGCTTTATAAATGCTCTCTGTGTAGTATCCAGCTCCTCAGTCACAAAGGATCAAAGCATCAACACGGCGTGCTCGCAGTCGGACTCCGCGTGGCCTTGACCTCTCCATGCCTTTCCTCCAGGAGGAGTATTACCGCCGGGACTTCACGGAAGTGCTCTCTCCCAACGTGCTCAACAGTAAACTCTGGGAGGCCTCGGGCCACTGGCAGCACTACAGCCAGGACATGTTCACCTTCCATGTGGACAAGGACACGTTTGCCCTTAAACCCATGAACTGCCCAGGGCACTGGTGAGTATTAACCAGCAAGCAGGCCCGGCCGGTGTGGCTCAGTGGGTTAGGTGTTGTCTGTGCACCAAGAGGTCGCAGGTTCCATTCCCAGTCAGGGCACATGCCCAGATTGTGGGTTTGATCCCCAGTAGGGGGCGTGCAGGAGGCAGCTGATTGATATTTCGCTCTCCCATCAATGTGTGTCTCTCTCTCCCTCTCCCTTCCCCACTCTCTAAATATCAATAAACTATTCTTTTTTTAAAAAAATTTTTTTATTGATGTCAGAGAGGGAGGAAGAGATAGAAACATCCATGATGAGAGAGAATCATGGATCGGCTGCCTCCTGCACGCCCCACACTAGGGATCAAGCCTGCAACACAGGCTTGTGCCCTGACCAGGAATCGAACTGTGACCTCCTGGTTCATAGGTTGATGCTCAACCACTGAGCCATGCGGGCCACAATAAACTATTCTTTAAAAGAAAAAAAAGTGGTCTTTGAAATGAGTGGTAAACAGTGAGTGGGAATTCCTTGGGTGAATGAGAATAGGAGGCTGCATTCTGGGAGAGATGCATTCTGGGAGAGATGGTAGACAGGTTCCTAGGGCGCCAAAGCGATGCAAATCCAAGGTGCGGTAACTCAGGAGAAGAAATGTCTTTAAAGCTCGTGATCTAAGAACCAGAATAAAAATGGACCCGTCTTGAGGCTTAATCATAACTTGTTACTGTTTCGCTAATCACTCAGCCATCTCCCGCTGAGTAAAAGCTGTGTTACCGCCTCTTTTCTAGTCTCATGTTTGCCCACCGCCCGCGGTCTTGGAGGGAAATGCCCATTCGATTTGCCGACTTTGGGGTTCTTCATAGAAACGAGCTGTCGGGAACCTTGAGTGGCCTGACCCGGGTTCGACGCTTCCAGCAGGACGACGCCCACATCTTCTGCACCGTGGAGCAGGTGAGCGGTGCCGGGCGGCGCCCACTCCGTGGTGTCTGGTCTCAGCATTGCTCAGTCCTTCAGAGTCGCTGTAAACTTCATAGTTCAGTCTCGTCTCTGAGGTCTCCTTCAGCCTGACATTCTGTGATTCTCAAATTGGGGTCTCAGATCAGTAATACATTTTTTTTTTAATTTTTTTAATAAGCCATCTCATTTGCTCTCATTTCAGATTGAGGAGGAAATCCGGGGGTGTCTGCAGTTCTTACAGTCTGTTTACTCCACATTCGGCTTCTCCTTTCAACTAAATCTGTCAACACGGCCGGAGAACTTCCTAGGCGAGCTCGAGTTATGGGACGAGGCTGAAAAGGTAGGTGGGACGGAGCGCTGACTCAGGGGTTTGGACGTGGGAAGCTCTGGGCCAGATAGGCCAGCTGTAGAACGCACTTACCCAGCTGTCCTCGTCACGGTGATGACAGCAACACCGTACGTGCATTTCACACTTCACGGTTCATACCAAGGTTTGTCTACTCTTTCCAGTGCCAATCACTAATAACCACTGTCATTGTTTGTTTTAAATATATTTGTATTCATTTCAGAGAGGAAGGGAGAGAGAGAGAGAGAGAAACATCAATGATGAGAGAGAATTATTGATCAGCTGCCTCCTGCACATCCCCTACCGGCCATGTGCCCTTGACCGGAATTGAATCTGGGACCCTTCAGTTCGCAGGCCAACGTGCTATCCATTGAGCCAAACCAGCTAGGGCTGGGTTTTTTTGTTCTTTTTGAATTTAATGTTTTCTTTTTTTATAGATATATTTTTATTGATTTCAGGGAGAGGAAGGGAGAGAGAGAAACATCAGTGAGGAGAGAGAATCACTGATCTGCTGTCTCCTGCACGCCTCGTACTGGGGATCGAGCACACAACCAGGTATGTGCCCCGACCGGGAGCCGAACCAGCAACCTCCTGGTTTATAGGTCGATGTCACGCCAGCCAGGCACATTCTCATCTTTCTTTTTCTTTTCTTTTTTTTTTCCTTTCTTTTTTTAAAATATATTTTTATTGATTTTT